GACGGAGTACATCGAGGTGAAATACATTAGTAAGGAATTATAAGCCAAATAAAATAAAAACCTCTGCCCTGAAGATAAGGATAGTGCTGACAGATTACCTTTCAATTCACTACGTGCAGCGGTGTTTCGGCATTCCCCCCCCGGGCCGCAGAGCAGCGTGAAATTGATAAACAGATTTCGAAATGGTTTGAGAAACGAAGGATATGCCTTTATCCATTTTTTGCAGCAATTCCACTTTTGTTTAATGGACTTCTAAACATACTTTCGCTTTGTAGATCCTTTACATGTTAGTAAATATATATCGTAAATTCTATTTGACATAATCGAAAGTTCAAGCTTACTTTTATAAAATTGCTCTAACAGCCCTGCAAAAAATAATAAGCCGGATCCAATTCAAAGATTAAGGAACAATGCAATCTGCAACATTAACTGAATTAGATAATTTTAGCTTACACCGTCCATTATACATTAAACGCGCAAGCATAAACGTATTACGCGCATGCGCACACGCATATTTGCAGCCGTAAAAGTCTTACGCGCATTCGTCGCTGTAGCTTTGAGGTCCGGATTATAGATCATTCCGGATTATGGGTGTCCGAATTTACGACTTTTGACTGTACTTTTGGATTCAGACTATGATTAAAATTTTGATTTTTCTGGGTCCTCTTAGGAGTAGAGCTGAGTAACTAATGCAGATTTACAAAATATATATATGTACATAAAGTAAATTAAAAGAAAACGTTGGTGTAATTTTATGAATTGTAATGGATAAAAATGTCATTAATTATCTTAAGGGTATTTTGATTTTTAGAAGATTTACATCACAGAAATACTTACAAATAAGTTGTGCAGTTTAAATTCATATACTTTATTAAAGTTATTAATGATGCTAAAGCAAAGTTTAAAGTTTATAAAAAATTAAACATTTAGCAGTAGTAGCAATAAAAGCTCCCTGAGATATCATGTTGTGCAGACGTTGAAGACAATAAAAGGTTTTGAACTTAACCGATTTATTAACAATATAATAAAGAATAAAAAACACAGAAAATAAATTTAACAACTCAGAGTCTTAGGAAAAATATAATATAACCATCATCATCAAATAATATTTTACCTGATCTCTAAAACACTGGCATCAATACAAATAAAATGTCCTAAACAGTAATTAAGCAGCCTAAAAATGAAGCTGGCTACATATTCAATAAGTCCATAATCAATGGTCAAGAAAAACACCTGAAATTTAAATCAAGTTCTTGAAAACACTTAAAACCGGCCTAACTCCGTTTGCACAAGGAATCGCCGCTCACGTATTTTAATTGCCGCCTTTATTGAAGAACATGGATGCCGTCCACGGCAGTCACTCACATGGTAGCCTCTGAAACCAAGGAATTTATTCCGGAACAATAATCTTGTGGACATGAACCAAGGAACCCCATTCCGGAACAACCATCCCGCGGACAGGCCACCAAGGAACTTTGTTCAGGAACAGCCATCCCGCAAACCGGAACCAAGGACTCATTCACCGACTGCCTTCGAAGGGGCTGGGAAACCGCTCACCAAGTGCCAGGAAAGCAGGAACTAGAAGGGTGAGCCAGAGCGACGCAAGATACTTAAAGCAGAAGTAGCTGACGTCATCTCCCGGCAACAATCAGTATCGGCACGAATCGGCTTTCCAGATGGCGTAACATCACGTTTCGTTTTTAACATCTCAATTAGGTTGAAACTTCCGTTTCAATGCCACAGTGGCAGCAGAAAGGTAGAAGTAACTACTATATTACTAAATAAGAACTAAACTAATAAACATTTCAAGAGGAGAGATACGTAAAAGGGTTTAAAATAGCTATATTTTCCAACAATTAATAGGTCTGCGTTGTTACTTGCAACAATTTTTTTACCTTCTGCTAATCTTTGTAGGTATCGGCGAAATTTGGGCGACCACCCTGCTACAGCCCTGCTAGTTTTTTTTTTGGATGTCATTTTGTTTCATGAGTAAGCATGTTTTTTTTTAATCAACATTTTTTCCCAACAATCTGCTCGCCAAATTACGCTTGCTAAACTTTTAGGGAAAAAGTGCTTAATCATGACCAAGATTAGTGCGAATGGAGAACGTGCAGAATCGCCACTCTTGCCCGTTTTTTAGAAGTGCACATACACGATATCCATGTCACGTCGACCTATTTTCACTTAAAAACTCCCGAAGCACAAAAATGGCATTGCGCATCTTGACCTTTATCCATGTACACTGCTAAAGTCCTAGCTAGTAACCTTTATCGCATTACCAAATCGCCAAACTACTTGTTACCATATTCCAAAGATTAGCCAAATGTCTTATTCAAATGAGTTTCAAATCAGATGTTAACAGCTGCAATATATGCATCACATTGATGGCGGATATCATTTATTTAGGAGCAGATTAATTCTACTGAAGACCTTGTAGCAAGAATTAGCATCACTGATTTGAAAGTATGGCAAGCGTCTTCCAAAGTATTTATCAATCGCTTTGTCATTGTAATGCAAATATTGCTTTTAGTGGTGATTCAACTGAATAATTCTTGTAAATATCATTGATTAAAATGACTTCATTCTTATGCATTCTGTTTATCCATGTTTACGTTCTACTGCATCATGAAAATTCTAATTTTTGTCATGTTTTATTACCCTTAAATTTGTGGCCATCAATTCTGTTACACTCTGTATTAATGATGCAAATAGGTTAAGAGATGCAGGCTTAGTTGCTGTATTTTGTAAATTTGTTACTGTATGAAAGTACTTTGGTAAAATTTTCTGTTTGGCTAAATTTAAAGCACCAATATTATTTAGTAATATGTATTGGTATATTCCATTATTTAGTAATACGTGCGAGAAGCAAGCAAGCTTTGTACTTGCTGTTCATCTGTTTCTTAACAGCTGTATAAAAGAACTGGATAAAATAAGAAATACTTGCCATGTTGCATTTAGAAAGATTAATTGGTGTTGTGATTTTATCTGAATATTTTCTTTGGAGGCTTGCTTCAATCAACCGAAAGGTGTTTGACTGTCCTTCTCAAATGGTTAAATCCATTTACTGTGAACTGTTGCAGGGTAGTCTATATTTTAGGTTATCCCGTTTATTATCACCAAGTTGTTTCAGCTATGGTCACCTGAGTGTTTTACGATGCACGTTTTGGAAACTTGTCATCACATGATTGCTTCTAATACATGATTGCTCTGAATTTGATTGTGAGAAAAATATTTCTCAGGGCGAATTTCTGCTTTGGATATCATTTAGGAAGTACATTGTTTATTTTGAGCTTAACGCCTTAAAATGCTGCTAGTGACTAGAATAACCTGAAGTTTGTATATGATTTGGAACAAATGGAAAAGAAAGCATTGATTCACTGGTGTGTAAATGAAGGTTTAATCGTAATTCAGTGGAATATCTTACCTGGAACAAGCTGGAAGTCATTTGATTGTCTTTCTGATAATGGCTTCGCTCATGTCTTGGTAAATTGCGCAGTGACATTATAAGGATTCGGAAACTGGAGCTCGCGTCAGCACTATCAAAGGTATGTGGGATGTAATAAAAAGGAATTTTTGGAAGTGCCTCCAGCACTACGGAGGATATTTTTGAATCTTACTTTTGTGAATTTATGTGGCGACGCCAGTATACAGACTCTAATTCAAATAATTTTAAATGGTTTTTGAATGCTGTTAAGAAAAACTTTGTGCTACACACGGAAGACACATTTCTAAGGTAAGTCGATATTTCTTTTTGTACTGCACAGGTTAGATAACATATATTTCCATTTTTATTTATTTTATTTGATTTTATTAAAATGCAGTTCATCAAAATTATAATTTTTGATGTTTTAATGCCTTATGTTTTGGACACCATTTTACTTAGGAAGGAGTTGATAAACAGGAACGTAGCCACTGTTCTCCAAGGGGACCCTGAAATATACATTTTCCCTGTTGCATACAAATACCATTCTGTAGGTAGTGTGAAATGTTTTATGGTGGGAAATGTTTCTCTAGTTCTGAAATGTTACCGTTGATCTGCGAGAGAAATTTTGTAATGTTTGGAGAATTTTGTTTTACTAGATAGTTTTCAAGACAGTTTTTTGGACAGTTCTTACACTCATCCAAATGACATTTTGGAATTCATTATAAATTATTTTAAAAGAACATGGTTTTCTAATGAACACTTTCAGATACCTCGAATAAAAGTTGAAATTTTGCGATAAGGAAAATGTGGAGAAATGCTAAATGAAGATATAATTGAACTATTACAATGACAATAGTGCCGTAGTTATCAGTCAACGAACCAGACAATGATCTTTTGATCCAGAAAATATTCCCACAGGTGCTCAAGAAAGGGAAGCTGTTGAGAATGAAATTCAGTTGATAGTTAACATGTTAATTGTAAGGTTTGAATAATAGAACTTTGTAAATGAATGAGAAATTTTATCTGAGTAATTAAAGTGAAAGTATTGGCGATACTTAAATATCAGCATAGTTACCTTGGCAATTTTTTACAGAACAACAAAAAAAAAAAAAAAAAAAAAACAATTCAGTGTATTTTCCAATTGCAATTTCCAATGGACATGCTTACCTAACAAGCTGTTATGTGAATGGTTGCCAGAGTTTGGCAGTTTCTGAAAATTTGCCAACTTGTACTAAGATAGTTGTGATATACATAAGTACCCTATTGGCACAGAAAACAAAATTATTTAAACAATTTGCATTTTAAGAAGCGTTTGATGGAATGAAATGAATGTTAACTTTTTTTATAACTTTTGGTTTTGTGAAGGTTATAAAGGTTTCATAATTTTACAACCATTTCGTATTCTTAATTTTATAATATTTACATGCCATCTTATTGGATTTAAAATGATGATCTCAAAGTTTCTGGGTGCACAGATGTTTTGCACACTTTATATTGTATAGCTATCTATGAAATTGTAATTTTAATGTGTAGCTAAGGTTTAAGTTGTGCTATGATGGTCAAGATGCTTGTGCTTATTAAAATATTAGCAAGAGTAGAATCATTTAGTGCACACCAAATTTGGAAATTTTGTTGTTAGATTATGATTTTGATCAGCAGAATATGCTGAGGTTGTGTGCTTATCAAGTTTGTGGAATTCTGATTTTTTTCATGCAAAAATGTCATTGTGTACATAGGGAAAGCAGCATTAATGTATCATATAAGCCTCATTTAATAATTTGTATTTTAAATTGCTAAAGTGTGGTTTCTTTTGATATGTTGATAACATTTTTCAGCTTGCGATAAATATCAATAGTTTGGTGACCTTTTTAAAAAAGTTTTGCCAGAATCCACCAACTTGCACCCAATAAAATAACTATAACCAAATCGACTTAATTTTGTAATATGAAATTTCAAATAAATACGGTAATGTAAGCTTCAAGTACTGGTGTAATTTTTTGTTAATTTTCATTGTTTAACAGGGTTCGTAGCGATCCTTACAAGTGCTTATAAGTCCTTATATTTGAAAATAAAATATAAAGGCTCTTATAGGTGCTTACTTTTTCTTTAAAGCCCTTATTTTTTGTTTTTTTTTTTGCTTATTTTTTGCTTTTAGTGCTTTTTTTTTAATCCTTTGTTTTTAATGAACGTGCATTTTTTCCCCGTACCAAAGTCGAAACTAAATAAACAACTTTTCTTTCTTATATGCAACGTCGGTGAATCATACTCCCGGAAATTGCTTCCCCCCCTTCCTCTGCATTAACGCACGCGAGAGTACAGACAGGTGCATGTCGTTCTATTGGCCAAAGAATTGAAAACGCTAGAAAATTCCGGTACATTTGGTATTCTTTTCCTCCCACCCAAATACTGCACACTTTGAATTTTTCAAGATTTTTAATATTTGCATTCTCGTTCCGCGTGGTCAGTTTACCCTGGTGTGCAAAATTAAGGACGAGACGGTTTTTTCAATATACTTTGTACAGAACTTTCCAAATCACACATTTAATACATAAGATCCCCAATACGTAAGGACATGAGTAATGTAGCAACACTTACTAAAGAGAAATCAGAGGGATAAAAAGAAGCTTTATTGAAGAATAGCATGAGCGCAATGTGACTGAAGGCCGAAACATCCCTGTGATTGGTGTCCAGCAAAAACATCCGGTCTTTAATAGGGGGAATGATCTTCCCTGACTGCTAGCAGGTTTCACAGCATCTGCCCATGCTGAGAATGAGGGTTCCATGAGTTGTTGAGGCTTGCTGCCCATTCGTCTTGCAGTGCCAATCGAAGCTCCGGAATCGTTATTGGTGGTAAGGTACGATCTCCAAGTGTCGCCTAGAAAATCCCATACATGCTCGATGGGATTGAACGGAGATCGTGCCGGCCAATCCATCGTTCAATATCCTCACTCTCTAAGAGCTGTTCCAGCTACGGCAATGACATGGTTCATGTCGTCCATGAAAAGGAACTGCGAACCCCTAGCGCCTAAAAAGACGTAATATGGAAGAAGAATCTCGTTACAAATAACGGTCCCGTTGACTGAACCTGCGTCAAAGATGTGAAGGTCTGTACAACTCAAGCATGATGCCTCCCCAAAGAGAACCCCGCCCCTCCATACCTACCTGTCCTTTCAATGATGTTCGAGGGATGATTGCGGCTTCCCCGCTCTCTCCAGAGAGATGCGATGAGAATCGCTACTCAACTGAATCTGCTCTCATCTGAAAGAGTACTTGTCCCCATTCATTGTCTCTCCAATTCCGGTGTTCCCGGCACCACAGAGAACGCCTTCTCCGATGGGCAGGCGTTAGAGGTACACACCGTACAGGGCGTCGTGCAACAGACCACCACCGTGCAGTCTTCTGGCCACGGTAAACGCGATATCGGTCGTCCAGTCGCCTGTGTCGTGTGTCTAGCGATTTCTCCGCTGTCTGCCGCCGGTTTCTTCTGCTTGTAAAGCAATATACCCGTCATCTGCGGGTGTGGTTCCTCGTGGACGACCACTACTAAACTCCGAATAGCTGTTCCTGTAGTTTGAAGTTGTCTCCAAGTCGTGAAACGATGCTGTGAGCAATTCCGAACTCTGCGCCCACTTGTCACATTGCGGCCTTCCTCCAACTTCCCAATGATTCGATCTCGGGTAAAAGCTCCAGAATGTCGTCTAACAGATGTTATTCGCCATTTCTCGCTGAGGCAGCAATGGTGTGATTTAATGCATACGGCATGCAATCTCTTTGCCAGAAATACTGATCTTACACCGACAACATGCTTTATACTGCTCATACACTCCCCCATTACGTCTACCTGCATATCTACGCATGTGCTACCATGCATCACCTTACTTAAACTCCTGATTGGTCTTTCCGTCCGCTCTGGGTCTTCATTCAGCTGATATGCTAATTTTTCGACTTTGTCCTTAATTTTTGCACACCAGTGTATTCGTGTTTATTATGATCGTTATGCTTATATTATGAGCATATGCATGAATATTTATAATAATATAGTAACTACTGAAGTATAGATAAACTTCCAAAAATGGGTGTGTTTTACACAGATTGGCTTCAGGGATAATATTCGGAATGGCTTAAATAAAAGGAAAGTAATCGAATATCAAAATAATTCATTTTCTTTGCAATACATTATATATTACGGAGATTGGGAGTTTCTCCGCAAAATCTCTAATATTGAAGCAGCGGACTTTTTTTTTTGTCACTGTCCAATCTGGATTGAATAAGACTAAAAGTTTTTGCCGTCTACCCAACCCAAGCGAAGATTGATTCTATTCCGGATATTTAATACAGTCTGTTAAAAATTAGAAACACCCCAGATTAGTAAGTCTCTTTCTTTCTCTCTCTTTTTTTTTTCCCTTTATTTAGTTCTTTATTCTCCGAATACCGGCAGGTGTTGATTCCGATTGCATAATATCACATATGGTAGAATTATGCCGCACATATTGTGCAATAACGTTTGTGGTATTTTGCATTGATAATTAATTTTGATGTTCAGTCTGAGATTTGTTATGAACTTAAAAGAGTTTTACTGTACTTTAAGCAGATATTCTCAGTTCCGTTGGTATTTTTATATGCACATATCGATGTCAAAATATTTATTTAACCTAGAAATCTAAAAACGGCTACAATCTCCCTCACCCTCTTTTTCCAGGTTCATCTGGAATATTCGGGAATTTCCGAGAATGCGGGTATTTAACTTTTTGTTAAAGGAGGACTAAATGAAGCAATCCCGTCTTCTGATTTCAGAAATGTGCCTCTTTTTTGTAATACCAATGACAAAATGTTCACTTGATTTAGTTATTGCTTGTAAATATGTTAAGAGAAACTTTATGAATAAAATTTCAAAATTTAGATTTTGATTTAAGTTAATTATTTAATACTAATATGAGTGGAAAAATAAATTGTATTATTATTAGGTGCAATGAATACAAATATGGCTTATTATATTTATTTTCTATATTTCAACTGAATATCATCATTGAATCTTGTAATACAGTCAAAAGTCGGTTAATTCGGACCTCAAAGCTAAAAACTTTCTGAGCATGCGAGCGTAGTCGTAGGGTTGACCTTTACGACTGCGTTGCGTGTGCGCAGAGAAACGTTTAGGTGCGCGTTTAATCTAAGGAAGTAAAGCTAAATTATCTCTATTTGTTGATGTGATGTTGCGTTGTTCCTTAATCTTCGAATTGGATCCGCTATTATTTTTGCAGACTGTAAGAGCAATTTTATAAAGTAAACTTACTTTTGATATGTTCAAATAGAATTTCCGAGTGGAGCTGCCAAAGGATTACAAAACGAAATGTTTTGATGTCCATCAAACAAAAAGTGAATTGCTGAAAAAATGGATAAAGACATGAAGAGGTGACAGAGAGGTTAGTGAAAACGAAAAATTTGATTGCAGTTAGTCGGTATTCTCGGCACGGCAATTACGGGACTTGACAGCGGAACTTTGTAACTGAACAGAATTAGTCTGTTATAGAATTAAAGAGAAAGTATTATACATAAAACGAACAACTTAACAACTTACATTGAAAGAATGTTATAAAGTAAATAAATATAAAGCTTTTTTTTTTCTGAATTTTGATAGTCTTTAAGATCATAATTGTTCTTGATTTCATAATACGTTTCATATTTTTAATTTAGATTTCTGCATGCCATCTTACGAGATTTAAACTGCTGACGATAATCCAGAAAAATCGATAATCCAGAATCGCCGAAGTCTGACGTCCGATTAACGCTTTTGACTGATAGTTTAGTTCTGCAATTTTTTTTTTTCATAGTAAACTAATTCTGTAAATTGAACTGTCATTTAAAATTAAAAAAAAAGTTTAATTTTTTCCATTGTTGAGGTAATGCTCATTCTCTTATAAATTTGCATTGCTCAATTTTAAATTACAAGTCTAATTTCTTTTAAGGTTATCAGTTGTGTATAATGTAATTAGACAGGTGCTTATTTTTTCCTTAAAACGTGCTTGAAAGGTGCTTATAGGTGCTTATTTTTTTAACTAAAATGTGGCTATGAACCCTGTTTAATCATAAAGGATGGAGAGTTCCAAGCATCATGATAGCATTTATTTTCTGTGCATTTTTTCAATTTTTTGTCTGTGTTTACATACAGTGATTATTTAAAATGTAAATAATAGATCTAATTTAAAAAAAAACAAAAACAAAAAAAAAAAAAACATGGTGTACATATGTTTGTGAAAAATCCTATGCAGCTAAAAAGTATGTAAAGAGTAAGATAAGGTTTTAAAAAGAAATAGGTTAAGAAGGTTACTTAGCTATTGTATTTCCTTCTTTAAGTTAGAAATTTCTCAAAATATTACAAAATTTAAAAGCATGGTGATGCTTAAAAAAGTAATTTTAAATTGTAGCTGTACAACATGTATATTATAAAAGATAAAACTTTTCACTTATAAATTTACTTTTAATGAAAGGCAATTTGTTACATTTCGCCTTTCTTGTACACAATTTAATGTGTACAGTGTTTTTATTTTTGTAACAAAACTTAACTATATGTCATAATTTTTTTTTGCAGAACTTATGTAGCTTTTGGAGAAAAAACTCGAGACCTAGGAGTATCAGCCAAAAATAAACAAATTACTAACTTGAAGAACACAATATTTAGCTTCAAGAGGCTTATTGGGCGAAAGTTTAATGATGCTGTAATTCAGCATGAATTGCAATATGTTCCTTACGATGTTTGTGATTTGCCAACTGGTGAAGTTGGATTCGAGGTTTGATTTCTTTATTTATGTGTATGAATATAAGAAGTTGATCATATTCTATTTATACATGGAGTTAAATATAGTTTACAATGTGTGCCAAAGAAGTTTGGTGAAGTGTTTATCTAAATGACAACATGGGCCAGGCATATGCATGCATTAGGTTCTCAACCAGATGTTTTGGGAGGGGATGTGGTCAAAATAACTGGTGAAATATGTAGCTTTAGTTGGTGAATATGAAAAACTACTTTTATTTGAGTTTTGGTATTTATCAGTATTTTCTGTGCTCTTTTTTAATTTTTGAAATGCATTAAAAAATAATTTAAATAAATGTATGTGCATTTTTTGAGTTTTTTGAAAGGAGGTGAGTGGGAATGATTGTCTAGCAGTACTGTAAGGGATGCATGCAACAAAAAAGAATGAGACCCAGTGCTATGTATACATGTAAAGAACCACTATGTGCCATAGAGCAGGTTTCTCAACCGGTGATACGCAAGAGAAAAATAAGTGGTACGCAGAGAAGCAAAATATTTTTAACTATTAAATTCAAATGTTAAAACCCCAACATCCTGATTGAGTTTTTTCTCTAACACTCATAAATTTATACGATCTGAGAGTGGTTGTGGTGGTACTAAAGGTTTTAAATTTTTATTTAGATGTTACATAATAGTCAAAAGGTTGAGAACCGCTCTTGTAGAGTATATGTGACCTTCGGGGTAAATCTGCTGTGGGTTGTGAAATGTAATCAGTATAAAATTGTCACAGTGTTATGGAGCAGTGAATGAATATCAGGCTGGGATACAAACTGAGAAGAAAAGTGATGGGAGCACATGAAGTATTAATGTAGCTGTATGAAAGAGAAGCCACGAATAAAAAATATTTTTACTAGATTAAATGCTTTTGCAGTGAGAAGGAAAGAGTTACTTTTAAGTTGGTCATTGAAAGACAAAATCTGACATAATTAAGTGCAATACATGCTGCTACAAGATAGCTCACTCAGCTTTTTATGACTGTGGAAGTAAGCATTGCCCAGGACATGGTGCACATCAGCATTCATGAAAAATACATAACAGGTTTTATGAATGATTTTTTCCCCCCAAGATTTGAGTAAGCAGATCTGTTTGTAGTTTGGTCACACGAGCTAACACGAGCAGGAAGCAAAAATGATAGAAACCTGTAGGGGTGTCATTGTCATCTGTAACCGGGATCCATTTTTTCTGTGAACCATCATTAGAGAAGATGAACACTGATGTTATCATTTTCATCTAGAATCCTAAGGGCGATACATAAAATTGTGTTTGCCATTTCCTCTTAATCCAAAAAGAGCCACATGAGAAAGTTTAATGTCAAGTCTCCTTCTTTAGTAACCATTACATTATCCACAAGAAATTTGTTTCTGAAAGCTGAACAGTGAGAGTCACTTTTATTGAGGAAGTTTTGAAATGGTTGTTTCAGGGCATCCAGCATCCTTGGCCTTGATTTGATTGCACAGGGCTCTAAACAGTGAATATTGTTGCATGATAATAGGCCTGCGTGCTGTGTGATCCATATGCACCATTCTTGCCTCAGTATGTTATACATGTTTTTGGTTGGTTGTAATATTTCTCTTATCTGACACTTTCAGATTTCTTTTTTTACCTTTCGAAGAGAAAGCCACAAAATGTACAAACTTTTTGGAAATGTTGACACTAAAAAAATGTGGGACAGAGGTTCTAAAATCAGTTCCTAAAGATATCATAGGTAGTAGTTTTTAGAAACTATGAATGTTGCCAGGAGTGTGTTGTGGTCAGGATTATTTGAAGGCCAATAAATATCGTTTGTATATTTTGTTGTCTGGTATCATTCACCAAACTTCTTAGACATCCCTAATTTAACAAGTACTAAGAGTCAAAATTTTTTACAATTTATATTAAAATTTGTGCTTGTTGTATTAGTCAAGTAATTTTGAACGGAAACATATGTAATCTTACAAAATTATTGCTTTTTGCAGACTATAACTATGCTTATTGGTAAGAATAATTTTGCATATCATTTGCAGTATGATAAATCATTAAATTTAACCAAATGAAACCTTTACTTCAATAATTATAGTTGTAGAATTGTTTTAAGAATCCAGCATCTTTTCTTGGTTGATGTTAATATCTGCATGTTTATTTTCATTGTCTGTGTAACAACATATCTATTTGTCGTATTTAATATTAATTTTTGTGCCTCTAGCATATGTAAAGCAGCCTATCAATTACACGCAAACAACTTTAGCTCACAAGAGAGTTTTTTTTTTTTTTTTTTTTTTTTTTTTTTTAGAATGAGGCTCATCAATTGAGCAGTAAAGTTATTGAACAGTGGAAGTTTGAGCTGGGTTAAATTCTGGTGAATGGGCTGGCTGCTTGAGCATTTTCGGGGTTTCACCGTGTGTAATGTGGATATGAGCCAGTTTCTCTTAGAAGTATTCAATGAAGGCATCTTTCTTGTAAGGCAGCTAGCCCTTGTGTTCTTTACCATAAACTAACAACCAGCTAACATTTTAGAGTAATATTAAATTTGACATAATTTTCAATAGAAGGGTCCTTCATCAGAAACATATTTAATGGACTATTAGTCTTAATTTATTCTTGAGGAATGCAGTGCCCATGTGTTCAGCATTTTATCTAAACTGGGATATATCCTGTTTGGGTTTGAATAGTGTTTTGAATGCCAACAATTTTATGTTAGGTCTTCCAGAAAGTTATGTGGTTTTAATTAGTAATATAAATGAAGCAGTACAAAAAAAAAAAAAAAAAAAAAAATTTCATTGAATCAGATAAGCTGCAGTTTGTTCCATGGCTTTGCTATCATTTTGGCAGCTGGAAAATTCATTTTCCTCAAAGAACTTAAGTATATTCATAAGATTTATCAGGTGGTATTTGACAGTCTGCAAACAAGTGAACTCGAGACAGTTCAGAGAATTTTCAAGTGACCTGAAGAGATGAAAATCAGAGGAAAAAATGTCTGGTGAATATGGAGGAAGGTGAAAAAACATCCCAGCCATGCTCATTATGTCTTTAATATTCTTAATATTCTTCAAAATGCAAAGCTGAGCATTGCCATCATGGAAGACACATCCTTATGATGTAGCAGCTCTGAGTACTTTAGTTTCTTCTTTTAAAACTGTTATTTGGGAACAGTATTTCTATGAATTAGTCTAATTTGGTGGGAGGCGTTCATAGCACAGTACAAAGTACGAAATCCGGACGTTCATTATCCGGAATGATCTAAAATCCAGACCCTGAAACCACCACCAACGTTTTCTCATAGGCTTTACACATGCACATTTAATCCCCCCGCGCATAATAAAACATTGGAGTGTCCCGATTCTTAATTTCACTTCGACACTAAATAAAATACCTTGTTATTGAAGAAACAATCTTTTTAGCATAAATTTGTACGATTAGTAATTTGGCTCCGTTGCTGTGTATCTGCTTGGCATATATCTCAAACCGAAACATTTCATATAGACACATTGTTGATCTGACACCCACCTCGGGGAATCATTATTTATTATACTTTCCTTTCATCACCGCATGTTTATCAAAACATGACGAATTGAGTAATGACTCATATAGCGATGCCTAAACAATTTTTTTATGTTAATAATTGAATAATAAAGGAGTGTGGTAACCTTTTATGTTAACATCACACTTGGCGATGATTACAGATTTAAAAGGTAAATGTGCTAAAAAATGTTGACGAGGAAGATTTTACCAAAAATTTATTTCCGTATGCAAAAAATAATTTTGTTCACGATACTCATAGACTCAAAGATTACATTTAGGGCTATTTGAATTAAGAATAACTGATTTTGTTATTCACATAAACCCAGAACCAGCACCAGGCCTCTTATGGTCACATCGAGTTGTAAAATTTAGGACCCACAGAGACTGCATCAGGCGGTAAGATATATAGCACCGGCCCTCAATAAGGCTAAGTATATGATATGGTGGGAATTTATTTATTCAGAACTCTGATAAACCTTAAGCATGTGCAAGAAATAGACATAAATATAATAAATAACTAAACTAATACCATTCAGGCTTAATTGTCTCAATGCGCAATAGAAGAAAGATAAAATTTAACAGAACAACTTGTTGTTAGTCGCCAAGCTCATGATGCATAGCCAAATATGCATAGTGAAGAATAGCTAAATTTGATGATAGCCACCAATAGCCACCAATTTTAAAGCCAAATATGTGTAGTGAAGAATAGCTAAATTTGATAATGATAGACACTAATTTAAAATTTTCGGATATCACAAAACAAAGGTGAAATTTTCCAATTAACGGATTTTGTAAAGAAATGTGGAGAAGCGGTAATAAATGAAGATGATATAAAAGAAGTTTTTGATTGTGATGACAATGCTTCTCAATCATCAGTGAATTGATGAATGGTGAAATCTGTAGTATGGTTTTAGATCCTAAAAATACCGCTATGTCTAGTGAAGAAAGTGACAGAGAAGTTACTGAAAACAAGAAATTTTCGATTGACAAGTTAGTCAGAATTCTTGAAAAAGCAGTTACAGGACTTCAACAATGTAACTAAACAAGAGATTATGTCTGTCTACAGAATTAAAGAGAAAGTATTAGCACTAAAAATGAAGCAACTTACATTGAAAGAAATGTTTAATAAGGTAAACAAATAAATATTAAGCTTTTTTTTTTTTTTTTTTTTTTTTGTAAATTTTGATACCCTTTAGATCATAATACTTCATTATTTCATAAGTCAAGATTTCATATGTTTAATTTTATAATTTCTGTATGCCATCTTGCTAGGTTTAAATTGATTATCTAATAACCGGAAAAATCCCAAATCTGGAATTGCCGAAGTCCCGGCGAGTCCAGATTTCAGACTTTATACTGTGTACAATTCCTTTGTACCCCCACTGCACATAAAACATTACATTTTGGGGATGCAGCTCCCTTTCGGTGTTATTAAAAAAGAGGTTCGTTCTTTTTTGTTATTGTGGCCCCCAAGATTTC